TGGAGATTTCATGTTTCTTGTGGACTTGTCTCACCGTCACAATAAATTTCTTCGATTCATCAGGCTAACTTTCACCTCCTCTAACAAGAATACACAATAATACCAGCATATACTTGCGTATAGATGTAAGAAATTCCACAAATTCTAAGCTACATTCTTACGTATATGCATGTAATACAATCTTTTTTGCAAACACAATACACATCCATGCAGGCATACATGCATGTATTGAATTAATTAAAACAAAACAAAATACATTTACGCATACTGACACATCTGTATGTATACGTAATAAAAACAATTTAAATAACGTGTCAATACACCCTCCACCTACGTATAAATGCAATGCTTTAATAGTTTGTTTAAGCCTTGTTATATTTTTGTAGGCCACTTCGGGGTACCGCCACGTCACCATTGCCACACAGCATAACCTTTGGATCAAACCAGTATTTCCAAACCCTTCTGTATGTCGATGCGGCATAATATACCCAAGAAGTACATCCGCTTTCTCCTTTGAGGAACTATCGGTGCTCAACCTTGTTATCTGCTGAAAGCAAATCCGATCTTAAAGGCCAATTGTCCTAACTTCTACTGCAGAGAGAAAAAAATTGTCTCTACTCAAGATGGATTAATACTTTGATAATTCAAAACTAGAATCATGAGTCACATCCATTACACCAGTGTTTTCCAATTCACAACATTAGCACTTCGAAGTGGTATTTGGAAGATGCGCTCAGGATGCAAATCAAGTGAGGCACTGAGCTACGAAACTAACGAGTCATGATTGACGCAACACTTCTGGTTCAAAAATATGGAATAAAACTCCAATACCTTATTGATGATACCACCGTTCTGGATCGCATTGGTGCAATTTTAGAACGACAAGTGGCTACTCAACATGGTAGCGTTTTGAATTTTTGACTGGCGTTATCACAGAGGTGATTTGCTGACTTAGAGGAACCAAGACTCGGTGTTTCCGTACCTCACTCCAGCTAACTAACCCACACCACATCCCAAAGCATAGCACCAAATCTTGGTTGGACAGTGATCTTAAGACGTGGAGTGATTAACTTCCTGTTTCTCCTTCTCGCTGTGCATATCTTTGCCACCACCTAAAGGTGACGGCGCATGATACGGTGTAGCAGTATTCAAATAATAAAGTGCAGTTTTCTAACCATATTTGACAACAGACCATTTACTTGTGATATCGGTGATAAGGAAAGGATTTGGGTAATGGAGAATTGAGATTAAAATTAAACTCGGGCAACCTAGCATTGTGACTGTGGGTTCAACTGGGACATTACCTTGCATCAACCGGAGGACTTACAAATTCACTTATTAAGCAAACTTTGATCAAGTTGCCGATGTTGCAGCCTAGTTACTGGGATGATGGATCAAAATGGGTTGGAATGGGTCAGTTTAAATGAGGAGATTCAAGTAAAAAGTAGATAGAGGTGTTGGTGCAAGTGCTGGCTTTGAGTGGATGAATTGAACACAACTGCCTTCCCCTAATCACTTATCAAAGTCAGTATGCGTTTAGCTGTGCTACTCAATGCAAAATGAAGGAAGTAAAGGCTCGTTGGGAGGCTTCAACTTCTCGAATGGTTATGAAATCATAATCAGTGAGATTGTGCAGGATAAGTCGAATTCAGAGATCAAGAAACACCCATTGGCTCGTACCTTTGCAAACCTGGAAGTGTCTCTACAAGGCGACGCCTGTATTTGCAGGTACATATGATCCGATGAATGATTTATCTCCGTTGGAAGCAGTCTGTTTAGTGGGTGTGTAAATGGAACTCAAGAATCAACTTTCAAACACCAAACATGCTTTTCCTTTTGTTTGATACGGCGAGAGAGGCGAAGCGCACTATTTTAATAACACAAGAAAGGCGAGTGGTGTTGGATCAAGGTGGAATATCAGTTCGTTGAGTAAAGATGTCAGTTTGTCGATCGCGATGCTCTACTGCTTCAAAAATGAGGCTGATGGATTTCTCCTCCGTCGAACTGAGAAAAGCAGAAACGGATTTCCACATCACCGCCACTGGAAGCCATTCACCAGCTGCTGACCAAATCCACCATCGTATCAGCTCTATTGGCAGATATGCATGCTTCTGCAACTGAGCTGCACAAGGAGCTTAGTGAAGAGACGATTAACTGCAATATGGCCATGGAGGACAATGCGTAATAACCTGCAGACATTTGATTTAAATTGGGAAATTAATATTCGGTGAAGCTTTGGGTTCATGCCTGAAGGAACTGAATGCATAATCGAATGCTCACCTGTTACCTACTACCTCTCTCTGTAGATTTGACTGCATCCACGGACAGTATAACGACACA